CCTCAGTCTTCACTGCCAAGTGCTCCAGCCATGACGCCCCAAGTCCCAAAAGGCAAAAGCAGGGACTGGGAGAAAGAACAGCCCACTGTAGGAGAGGATCAGGTTCGAGATCTTCTAAGGAACTCAAAGGTGCATTAGCCCATGCGACCTGATGAGATGCATCTGCAGGTCCTGAGGAAACTGACAGATGAAGCTGCTAAGCCACTATCCATCACATTTGAGAAGGCCCCACTGACTGGAAAAGAGGAAAAATAACCCCTATATTTAAAAAACGAAAAAGGAAGACCCAGGAAACTACATGCAGTCTCACCTCTGTGCCCACCAATATCACAGAGTGGATCCTCCTGGAAAATGTGCTAAGGCACATAGGAAGTAAGGAGGTGATTGGTGAAAGCCAACATGGCTTCAATGAGGGCAAATCATGCCTGACAAATTTGGTGGCCTGCTATGATGGGTTATGGTATTGGTGGATAAGGGAAGAGCAACTGAGGTCATCTGGCGCTGGACTCGTGCAAAGTATCTGACACTGTCCTGCAAAACATCCTTGTTGTTAAACTGGAGAGAGACATGGATTTGACAGATGGACCACTTGGTCAATAAGGAATTGGCTGGACGGTTGCACTTAAAGTCACAGTCAATGGCCCGATGTCCGAGTGCAGACCACTGATGAGTGGTGTTCCTAAGGAGTCAGTATTGGGACTGCTACTATTTAACATCGCTGGCGACATGGGCAGTGGGATCGAGTGCACCCTCAGCAAGTTTGCCGATGACACCAAGCTGTGTGGTGCAGCCAACATGCTGGAGGGCAGGGATGCCATCCAGAGGGACCTGGACAGGCTGGAGAGGTGGACCCCTGCAAACCTCACGAAGTTCAACTGCACCTGGGTCGGGGGAACCCCAAGCACAGATACAGGCTGGGCAATGAGTTGAGTGAGAGCAGTCCTGGGGAGAAGGACTTGGGGGTGCTGGTAGATGAAAAACTGAACTTGAGCTGGTGATGTGCGCTCACAGCCCAGAAAGCAAATCGCATCCTGCACTGCATCAAAAGATGTGTGGCCAGCAAGTCAAGGGAGGTGATTCTCCCCCTCTGCTCTGGTGAGACCCCACCTGTAGTACTGGGTCCAGCTCTGGGGCTCCCAGCATAACAGGCATGGACCTACTCGAGAAGGTCCAGAGAAGGGCCATGAAGACAAGCATGGGGCTGAAGCAAGCCCCCTACGAGGACAGGCTGAGAGAGTTGGGGTTGTTCAGCCTGGAGAAGAAAAGGCTCTGGGAAGACCTTCTAGCGGCCTTCCAGTACTTAAAGGGGGCCTACAGGAAAGGTGGGGAGGGACTGTTTACAAGAGCACATAGTGATATGATGAGGGGTAATGGTTTCAAACTTAAATGGAGTAGATTTAGATTAGGTATTAGGAAGAAATTCTTTACTGTGAGGGTGGTGAGACACCAGAACAGGTTGCCCAGCGAAACTATGAATGCACCCTCCGTGGCAGTGTTCAAGGCCAGGTCGGATGGGGCTTGGAGCAACCCGGTCTGGTGGAAGGTGTCCCTGCCCGTGGCAGAAGGCTGGAACTAGGTGACCTTTAAGGTCCCTTTCAACACAAACCATTCTATGATTCTACGTCGTCTAAAGCTAGGCACAATGGCTGAACTTGTGTAGAAATTTGCTCAAATAGTGTGGTATCTAGATAAATGAGGACTTCCAAAGCGAATTTTAATCTCCAACTAAAGTCTTCTCACAGACTGAATTCCAGTATTCCTGGAATGTTTCTCTTTTCCTAGCAACCCTCAAAGGAAAGGCTATTCATCAATATACAAGGTTTTACCGAGAACAGAACTATGAGGTGAAAGGTATGTGTAATTTTCTTTACTGGCATAACTAACTCACACATTTCATAGACGCTTACCCCAACCCCTTTCTTACCTTAAATTTTATGCTCTTTGCTTGAGATCCATCTCTGTATAGCTGTTCTAACAGCCACAAAGAAGTAAGGACAGCAGCTGCTGATGTTTTCACATGTATCATTGGGACAGTCTCTTCCAAGGAGTCTTGTTTATTGGAACCACAGAACAGTCTTTTATCAGACCATCTGATCATCCACTCAAGCAATTTTGCAATATTTCTCAACTTATCCATTAATTCTATAGCTAGTTCTTCTCCTGGTACATTATCAATTCTATCAACAGTTTTGTAAATGTATTTAGAAGTTGCCTGATTTTGCAGGCTAGAGAAAGTGTGGTTAGGAAAGGGCTGGCCTGCTGGTGCAACAGCAACTCCTTGATTGTCACCCTGAGCTCTGTAAATTGACTTGTGTTTTAAACCAAATAATCCTTCATTAAGTCCTTTCATCAGGTTACGCACAGATGGTTCTGTTGTCTGTACAACTGACTGTACAATGGTTGGATTTTCCAAAATATTTTGATTTTCACTGTAGACAGACACTGTTTCAGGATCACAAGATGCCAGCGCGACAGTATAGCAAGACCCTGCTCTAAACACACTCTGGCTTCTAGTTTTGCCTTGTCGACGTTTTAGTGTTGTCTGAACATCAAAGAGGAGAGAGTTTAATTCATGCTCTTGAAGAAGTCCAGAAAAGCTAGTAAGAAATGGAATTCCAAGGTCTCTGTACTTGATCAGGTCTCTCTCAAGAATGTAACTCAGAAAGAGTTCTAAAAAATGCACATACTCATCATCATCACGTTCAAATTCCCATGCACCAACTATAGGCAAATTACATTGATTATGCATGTCTTTTCCATGTATTTTGTCTTTATGTTTTGTTTTCCCATTAACAGCTTTTATCTTACGTGTGGTACTTTTGGTACCTATTTCTCCCTGTCTTTGATGTTCATCATCCCTGTAAAACAACAAACATAAGCAGTGTTAATGCGAAAATCTATTTTACGAAGAATTACATGAAAAAATAAATGCAACAATAGTTCCTTTTCTTCTTCTATTGTTAAAAATAGGAAACTAACCACTCCAAATTTACATTAATACGTTAGGTGGCATTAATACATGTTAGGTGGCAAATTCATCAAATGCAAAATCCATAGTTTTTACATAAACAACAATTCAGCAGTATCACATACAAATGTGGTCACAGCTGATAATAATTTATATATCAGTAACGTATTAGTCACATAGTAACTCATATAACATCGGCAGTTCTAAGATTTGGTACATTTGTAATTCTTCATTCGATGAATTACCCAAAGTGACAATTATCCTGTTTGGTGAAAAGATTACTCGAACAGTAAGAGAATTTTTTTTTTTTTTAATTTAAATAGAAAGCTTTATGCTGAAGTTTTTCTCATACCTTTGGAGTGAAGGTGTTTGAGCTCTCACATCTTCAGTAAATAAAGCATCAGAAAGTGTACCTGCTGTGTCAGCATCACTATATACCTGGGGATTCCCAAGATCAGTAAGTGTGCTGCTGCTTAGGCTAGTGCCTAATGAGAATCTGTCATAACAGCGTTCCTCATCATCTGCTGTTCCCTCTTCTGCTGGCTCCCAAATATTAATTTCTATGGGGCCTATGTTCCTTATTACACATCTCAAGACCTTCATTCTCACTTTTTCAGCAGCTTGTATAATAATAGACATAATTTCTTCATTTTCAGGACCTACTGAAAGAAAGAAAACCAAGAAATTTTAAATAAAAACTTGTAATTTCTCAAGTATTCTCTCAAATTGAGGAATGAACTTTGAATCATCATAAATTACGGCCATTTAGAAATACAGACAGAAACTGTGATAAAGTAAAGAAACACCATCAACTTGGGAGCCATGATATTCTGTTATTGGTATAGACATATCAGAAAGAAAACACAAAATTTGCCACACAACTCTCTCAGTTTTCTAACTGACATCTATAATGATTGTTTTACATAGTGTATGAAAGAAGGTATTGTTACAAGTTAATTAATAAGGAGGGTAAAAAAGAAAGTTCATTTAGTATTTCCTGAAAAAGGATGCACATTACCTTTAACAACAGTGTGTCTGAGTCGCTGCTGAAGTCCATGGTATTTATCTCTTAGTGGAACTCTTACATCTTCAGGATTAGGAAATGCTTTTACAAAAATCTCTGCCACCTGCACAAAATAAAGTACCTTTTCAACTAGTTAAAATACGAGTAATGTATAATTTCCAACAGAACTTACAGCACTAGAAAGTCTAATCAGTAGCTTTTACAAGGAGAAGAAACATTCATGATAATCTCTATTGCTTTTGTTCTAGCTTTAATGTCTTTTACCTTTTTCACTGGTGGCAATTCTCCAAGCAGACTCAAAATTACATCTTGAACTAATTCTTCAATGTTCATGAACCTGGAGAAAGGAAGCATTCGACAAGCCCACTCCACTGCATTCAGACAATGCTCAACTGTGGAGGCATCATATTCATTCTTCTTCAGATCCTAAAAAAAAAAGACCTTGCTATACAAACAATTGATATGAACAATATATTTCATCTGAATTATTCATACAGTACAAATAGTAATGATTCTTCCCTAGTCAACAGAAAACAGAAATCTCTAAATTAACTGCCAAACAGAGAACGATACGATTCTAGGAGACAGATCAAGGTTGTAATGGATCATAACTCATGTTGGGAGGAAAAAAAAAAAAAAAGCGCGCAGCTTTTTTTAAATCAGTTTAGAAAATAATTCCATTAACACTCTTCTGAAGACTCTGCTTGCAGTCATTTAGAGTAAAACTTGAGGATTTGACCAAACTAGCTGTAAGTGATTAAATACGCTGAATTACCAGGTGAAGTAAATTAAATTTACTGTGACTTAAGGTGACCACAAATTTTCTTGTGAGCAAGATATTTAAAACAGCCAAGAGGCTTTTCCGATGGATCAGTTTATTTTGAAAACAGTCACTGGTTTCTTTCTCTTTTCTCACTGTTGCACAAAGCACAGAAAAATCATGATATTCTATTATTTGGAACAGAGCCATCATCTTTATTTGAAGCTTGATTTTTCTGGTGAAGAGAAATTTTGGACTTGCTTTAAAAAGGAAGCCATCTTTGCTAAGCACAGCGGAGCTGCTAGATTAGATAGGACAAAAATCAACATCTGTACTGCTACAGAATATATGCCAAACATCATGCTAGTAGTTTCCTTTTTCTTCCTTGACCTCTGACATCGATTGATGAGGCTATAAACTAGAGAAAACATGATTAAATTTTAATATATTTTTCAACACTCTTTTTGAAAACCACGTTTGGTCCATTAAATATACATTAGTCAGGAAACATCCAAAATATCTTAACCTAATGAAGAAAAAAAAAAAAGTAGTAAATATTTAGGTAGACAAGTGTAGAAGCTATTGCTTTTCTGACAGTATCTCTTCAACTATTCAAGTTCAATATCAAGAAAAAGCCCAACAGCAATACCATTAGAAAGATGTAGTTCACATGGACAGTACTATTCCATAGTATCAAATTTGCTCATCATAGCATTGTGCTAACTTTGTGCTATTAAGCAAATACAAGTTCTCACAAAAATATACAGCAGACCTTTAGAATTTGTCTTACAGCTTCATGCAATTAAAATGTATCTTTACTATATTAGTAATATAATTACCTTACGATTGTTAGTATTTTCCCTTGCAGTTTGGTATCGCTTACAGTTCTCAGATAATCTGTCACGAACATGAAACATCCAACACAATGCACAGAGGTCTCTGAACCAACCTATGACACAAACATGCAATATGGTGATATTTTATTTAAATAAAGTGAAATAAAACAGCTTGAGATTTTTAGTTAGAAGGAAAAAATTAACACTATCTTAACAGTAGCTAAATAAAAAAAAAGTTACTCATTCTCGAGTTTTCAATAGCGCTCTGCAGCTAGAGCTCTTTAGTCACCCTTAGTGTTCATGTTCTTTCACATCTGTCAGATCTATAACACACACAACAACCCAGAACAGCAACTTCCAGATTAAGACTTTTGACAACTAACATAAAAGCTGGAATGGGAATATGTTTCTGCACACGTTGCAGCATACTATTTCAAGCAAATAAGAGTTTCTTGGCACCTGTGGATTCTCACTTATGTTTTTTTCTCCAGCTCTAAATTATTCTATTTTATTGCATACAGACCTAAAATTTTACAGGTAATATCATCAAACTGATGGTCTCCAGAAGATGTAGATCTAAAGAAAATAGTGTGGAAATTGGAGTAATGAAGCAAAGTCTCTGGGAATGGACTCAGCAAAGGAAGAGATCTTTTCATTCGAATCTATAGATAGGAGAAATAAGGAAATGAATAAACAATCAGCTAAAATTTTGTATGTATTGCTACTAAATATACAGCCTCTCAGTTATTAGCAGAATACTGCTAAGGTCAGTAAAATTCCCTTAAGATGGCTTTCCATTTTCTTCAAATCAGTATCCTGAAAGTTCATTTAAAAGAACATATTTAGTATGAGCTATAGCACAAAAAATGCGTTTGTTCACATTGTATTCATGACTACCATGAAATACAAGAACTACAAGGTATAAGAAGATCACAATTAAGAAATCCATTTAATCCCACACAGTCCAGGCTGCTGTGAACCAAGGCAGACTGGTTTTCCCTTCTGTTTCAGCTGGTACTTTCGATCACCTCCCTGTCCCAGCATTAAGCATGTAATAAGCAAATAGAAGGAAATATTTGTCATTCAGACCAGTTCCTGATCTGGATCACTGCACGAATGCTCATGTAGAGGGGTTGAGGGAAGGCAGAGAGTCGCACACACTCACTTCTGTAGTAAGTCAACCTTCTTTAAGTGGCTGTGTAACAGCAACTTAAGAAAAGCCTGTATTTACACAATATTTTTTAATCAATATATTCCAAGCTTGGTTCTGTGCAAACAAAATGCACATAAGTAAAATGAGATCTTATAAGTCCTGTGCTCTACGCACTAAGATGACCACATCACCTCAAGTGAGTATCAGATTCTCTGTTACATATTCAACCCTAAGTGATCTGGAAAACACTTTCACTTAACAGCTATAACTCCCAGTTAAAATCAGCTTGTTTCTTTCAAATGGAGAAAGAAATGAGTTAGTAGGTTACCAAGTCGATACAAGAGACACGTAGAAGTAGACACTTTATGAAGTAGACACCATAACTCAAAGACAGAGGGTTTCATAAAAGGACTGAATATGGAGTGTAAAACTAGAAGACTACATTTAAAAAACATGACATCAAAGTCCAGATGAGACTTCTGCTTCTGTAATGCAACTGCAAGCTTGTCAGTAATATTTACAACTCATAATGAAGTTACAAAAAGATCAAATTAAATGCTTACTTTTTGCATGACTTTTCTTGCCCACTTCAGTTGTGCAATATACCACTGTGCTGCAGGGCAGGAACAACGAGCAGCCCGGAAGAGTAAGATAATTCGCTGAAGAACTCCTGACACTTTCTGACGACTTTCTCTCTCAATTTTTAAAAGAATGTCATTGCAGTCTTCCTGAAAAATGCAAATTCCAAGATAAAAAACAAGACCCAAAATTAGAAAGGATATATACAGTAAGGAATCTGACCTAAATGTTTCTGCTCTTAAGACTATTTCACCACTTCTTTAGAGCACAGATCCTTTACGGAAAAAAACGGAGGCGCACATACTTTCTTATCACTATGGTACTAAGTAAATGAAGGGAAGCGATAAAAAACAACAGAAAAATGAGCAGAAAGGATCCAGAACAAAGATCGTAATTATTTCATAAATACAGTCAAACAAGACCCAAGAAATTTCTACCATGCGTGCTTACTTCACTGAGAGAAGCTGGCTGAGGACAGTATAATGGTGGTGCTGGAAGATAAAGTCCATCTGGAACTAAACCATACAATTTTCTGCTAAGATCCTTGGCAGAATCCATCAAAAGCTGAAATGTCTCCGAGAGAATATCAGCATCTGCCATAACAGCTGCTTTCAGTAGTTCCTGTATTGAACTATGAAGAACATTTCCATCTTCCTCTTCAATGGGATCTATAAAATATTAAGTACAGAAATCAATAAATTAATTGACTCAATTAATACATGGCCTTCATTCTGAAATTATGAGGCTATGTTCTCAGAATTTGCATTTGTCTATTGAAATGTACACATCGCATCTACTTGCTTTAAGATAAGATCTCTCGCATTTGAAAATACTATTCAATCATTAATTTTAGGTTTTGCCATATTAAAGGGGAAGCTATTGCCTTTCTAGATAGACAACTGAGCTTTTCAGCCATGCATTTTCTCAGCATAAAATACTAGCAATCATTCTCAACAAGCAGGCATAAACTAGGTATGCCGTTAATAATAACTGTAGCAACTCTTTTATCAGTGACCACAATGATCCAGGAACGGGAAATGTATTTGTTTGATCTCTTTTACATATTATTACATTTTATTACATTTTTTCCCTCACCTCCTAGAAGTAGCAGGACCTTTAACAAACATCATTAATTTGTTCCTGAAATTTGCACAATATTATACTGCTCTACTTCCATTTCTACTCCTGCTTATCTTGAAATATGTGCTGCTAAATCTTTCCGCTACCTATCGTACTTACAGATTGTTATACACAGAATGTATATGTGTGTGTGTCTGTTTGAAATAAAACCCTTGGAAGTAAGTACAAAAGAACAATCTATGCAGTGTTTGGGATATGGCTTATAAAAAGATTACTGACAGGAACTTGAAATGTGGTTTCCAAACACACAGAGAGTAAGGAATAGAGATCATGCCAGTAAACTTTCTTTAAAACGTAAACAAGGACAGGTTGATCTAGCTAATCAGGGGAATTTCACCAGCTAGGTATTAAGTTAGGTTATGTGATAAAAAGCTCCTATACACAGATACAAAGGAGCACAAAGACAATAGCAGGTGCAGGAACCTGAATAATACCTAGACCCATCTACATGCAGTAGAAAAATCAAGCCATGAAAGGCTCATCTCCACAAGCCCAGAGATGCACAACAGCAAATTATGCAGATGGCAGCAACTGGGGAGACTCAGCTACCGGGTCTAAGCCCAGCTACTGGAGGGATCCACATCGTACACACAGGCATCTATATGCATACCTTCATCCTGGCCAGCAAAAGAGGGAAACAGGATGGGATTGTCGGTGCTGTTTTTGCGAGTGCTGAGCACGTCTGTATCTGTAGGTGTTGACCTGTATGGCCAGCTGTATATAGGTGTTGCGTATGTGTGCATGTATACGTGCCTTCTGGGAACACAGTCTCAGCCTTGCTAGCTGTTGGACCTGAGGGCATGGAGCTGCCAGGCTATGAGATACCACCCCCTCTGCCTTTGTCAGAAAGGAAAGGCAAAAATTAAACACCATCATGCAGCTAATTAAGTATGATGATACTCTCCATACTGTTAATATGTTCATATTTGCTTCAGGACATTTTTATTTTTAATGTTTTAATGAAGTTTCAGTTTCCTTCCAAACTGAGGTTAATATCAAATCTAGTCAAATAAGCTTTTGGCTGATACGCACGAAGAAGACAAGATTGATAATACAGTCCATTTTTAGAATGATTAAAGCCAAAACCCAAACCCCTACGAAACTGAAGTATTTGAATCTATTATAACAGTAATGCACACATTGCAGAAGACGAAGCAATTGTTTCCTTTTAAGACAGCGTATAACACAGAACATGCAGTGAAATAACATGAAAAATAAACATAATTATTTCTTATTTTACATACCTGTAAACTGCTTGTATTTAACACATCCTGATGTTTCAGAAGTAACTGGCTGTCCTAACAAAGATTGTAACTTTTCCTGAAAAGTCTGCATGGGTGATAAGCTTAATGGTAGGTGACGCTCTGTGTTTTTCAGTCTGAAAGTAAACAAGAAACTTTTAATTAATAAGAAAGTAAAACCCATAGATAATCAAATAAAGCTCTGTTAAATGAATACCTAAGACAAAATAACTAATCTTAACATGTTACGTCCTACACCTACTAGGAGTTTGGGAATATGAATTTTTGAGGTAACAGATAAGACCTGTTACATTAAACTTCATGGAAATAGCACTAATAACAGAATACAGTATACCAATTCCAAGCTCAAATTTACCTTGAGAATTCATCAGAGTTCTGACAATACAGCTGGTAGGCCACACCAATTGAAACAGACAGTTTCCAGTCCCCAAGCCTGTGTGTTAACCACACAGCCTCTGGAATGAGTCCACCAATAAAGAACAAATCAAGAGCATATTCAGCTGTCCACACAGACGAAAGGTTCTGGTCCCTGACAGCTCTGGCAACCAAACAGTGTTGCAGCGGAATAATACGAGGAGATAAGTCTGTGACACAAAAAACACATTTTAAAGTTCAAATAAATCAACATGCTATCAGTTGAATAATCTAGAATTCATACGTTTGCATTGCTTTTAGATTCACTTCAGTGTAAAACTGCTCTTTATTAGGGGCACACTATTGGGCTTTATCTGCAGCAGGCAGATGCAGCTCATGCCGTGATATAATAGCGAGGTCAGAGTAGGCTATTTTTCTGCTTAATGTAGGATATGCAAGCATGTGCAAAACTTGTGGGTTATTCTTACTTTAAAGATTTAATCACACTGATGGAACATTCGCAAGTATGCTACATATACTTAGGATATTCCAGAGGGTACGCTCAAGATAAATGGAAATCCTGAGTTTTCCTATTGTACCCATGTTGTCTGTACTCACTATGCTGCTTACTGCAGAAGACAGAAAGCTGCAATGCATTTTTGAGAAAGAATAGTACACGGTTTTAAGAAAGTGTATCGAGACAAACTGAAGACAGATTTAGTATCTCCTTGTTTCTCAAGGTTTAAATTTGTTTTCCAAGGTTTTACTTCCTGGTTTTCCTGGAGAGGTGCTAATCAACATTAACTCTAAGGAGTAATTTGCTCCTCTCGCAGTTTCTGTTTACTGATGAGGCAATGACATTATTTAGAGAAACACTGACACTAATCCAGCTTGTGCAACACAATTTTTTCAATATTGCCTCACCACATACATGGATCTTTGACTAATGAAAGTATTAAAATCCAGCTCTTTGTAGGTTTTTAAAACATCCAAAAGACCACAAAGAAATACATACCAGCGCATGCTGCAGTACAGAAACATTAAAAATAGTCAATGTATTCAAATTATTGCCTTCTACAACTGCCTGAAAGGAGGTTGTAGGGAGGTGAGGGTCGGTCTCTTCTCCCAAGTCACTAGTGACAGAAGAAGAGGAAATGGCCTCAAGTTGCACCAGGGGAGCTTTAGGTTGGGTACTACGAAATTTTTCTTCACAGAAAGTGTTGTCAAGCATGGGAACAGGCTGCTCAGGGAAGTGGTGGAGTCACCACTGCTGTAGTTATTTAATGTGTAAATGTGACGCTTAGTGACATGGTTCAGTGGTGGACTTGGCAGTGTTAGGTTTACAGCTGGACTCAATTTCAAAGGTCTTTTCCAACCAAAATGATTCTATTCTACGGATGGCATAATTCAATTGAGCACGTGAAACCATTAACTTTGAATACCAGAAGTATTTTCAGTAATCAATGGATGCAGAACATTAATTCCACATACAGACACATACACCCCTCAACAAAAATGTCTGGAAAAACTATGATTTTATCTTTACAGCTAATGGTGCTGAAACTATAAAACATAACAGACAGCACTGATATACATGTAAAGAAATGGTAAGAGTTAAGCACAGCAAATTCAACTGCTTTTAAAGAAAATACCTTGTTTGGTGTGAAGCGGATGAAGGATGCCAACATTGTGTGGGGGAAAGATATAGAGCAGCTGATTTGTGAAGTAAGAGGCCATGAATCGTGCCATGGATTGAATCACAGCCATAGCAGTTTCAGTATGAACATCTGTTACCATCCATAGTTCATGCTGAAAATACTTGGTATCTAGAAAAATAGATATTGAATCAAAACATTATGAAGAAAATTGTTGAAGTTTGAATGCGAAAATTGTTTAATCATAGCTTATAAGACTTTTTTTTAAACAAGCAAACTCTGGTACTTCTTAATTTCTTGACAAGCTTTCAGGACTTACAGAGCTTAATCTTACACTAATCAGTTACACAACATATTAAAAGACTTTTATACCAGGTTTTTAAATGACTACAGATGGGCCTATAGTACCTAAATTTAGATCAGTGCTGAGTCAAAAAAACCTGTTTAAATACGGAAACTTAGATTTCATACTCTGACTTAATACAAAAAAAAGTTACAAGCATTTGCAAAAAATATCCCACTGTTAATTTAGGACTGATGACCAATCTAAAATCCTCTGTTTTATCATGTTGTATCATAAAAAAAAAATTAAATCAACATAAAATGACATCATGTCATTGCCCCCTTATCTTTCTTATCTAAAGTCTTTCCTTGAGCAGACTGAACATTTAACAAGCCATGCTTTCACTATTAATTACACAATTAAGGTTGTCTAAACACTTACTCCAACAAGTGCAGCTGAAAGAGCACCTGAGGATCAGAAAAAGATCTTTAAAGAAGCCACTGAAAACAGATTTCACTCCAGTGTAAAGAGAAAAGTATGCTATCAAGCGTGTGTCTGATGGCACAGAAATTAGATACTAGATTATTCAAACAGTATCAACATACCTTATCACACTTTTATCCAATATAAACATACCCGAAAATTTTTCCATCTGACTCACTGAGAGATGTGATCGCCTTAGAATCTCTCCTACCAGATGATCACAGAGTCCCTGAGCCTCACACAAGTTATATTGATACAGGTGGCAAAACAGTATTGCAAGATAATATCTACTCTGAAGAAAACATGTTCTTTTTCCTCCTGCATTAAAAGAGAAAAAATGGCAGAAATCCAGTTCAAAAAGAAACAATAAACACAAAACCAGACACAGCAGGTTTGAAAGTACCTGCTGAAATCCAGGTAGACAACATCCACTACTCTCCCCTCGTTCCCCAGCCCGTCGTGCCATCATAGAAGGCTATCAGGTCGGTCAACCATGATTTCCCCTTTGGGAATCCATGCTGACTACTCCTGATAATCTCTCCCTTTACCTGTCTAGAGGCAGTAGCCAGAATGAGCTGTTCCATCATCCTTCCAGGGATGGAGGGGAGGCTGACTGGCCTATAGTTTCCCAGGTCCTCCTTCTTGCCCTTTTTGAAGACTGGAGTGATGTTGGCTTTCCTCCAGTCCTCAGACACCTCTCCTGTCCTCCACAACCTTCCAAAGATGATGGAGAGTGGCTTAGCAATAACATCTGCCAGCTCTCTCAGCACTCGGGGGTGTATCCCATCAGGGCCCACGGATTTTTGAGTGTCCAGTCTGGCTAAGAGATCCCTAACCCAATCTTTCTCGAGCAAGGGACAGTCTTCCTTTCTCCAGACTTTCTCTCCAACCTCCCTGGCCTGGGATTCCTGAGGGCCAGTTTTAGCAGTAAAGACTGAAGCAAAGGTGGCATTCAGTAACTCTGCCTTCTCTGTACCCTCCATTACCAGGGCACCTTCCTCCTTCAGCAGGGGGCTGACATTTTCCCTTCATCTTTCTTTTGCTACAGATTTGAACAAACCCTTGTTGTTGTCTTTGACAACCCTGAGTTCCATGTGGGCCTTAGCCTTCCTTGACAACATTCCTATATTCCTCCCAAGTGGCCAGTCTCTTTTTCCATATGCTCTAAACTTCCTTCTTCCCTTTGAGTTTTTCCAGAAGTTCCTGCATTGTCTCATTCTTGCTTAGAAATATACCTAGAGCTTTTTTGTACTAAGTACTTCACAATGTCAAGAAAACTCTGATACTAAAACAGAAATGCATGGAATTTTCTCAGGGAGCAATCAGACAAGTTCTGACTGGTCTCTACTGAAATCCCAGCTTCACTTCAAATACACATCCTTTATGCGTCTTGCCCCCTTTTTTTGAAGGGCAAACAGACAGTCACAAATAACTACATAAAGTGATTATACAACTTGCCCCCTCCACCCCCCAAAAAAGATTTTATTCCTTACCTTTTGCCTTGATCTCACAAAGAGATCTTTTCCAAATATCCACAGATTCTTTGTATGAGCCTAAAAGAAACTTCTCCTCACCTATAAAAGTCACACATATAACAAATTATATAAAAAGGTTGACATATTCAGTTTTACATATGCATGCACTTACTTCAGTACTACAGATTTATGAAAAGCAGAGCAAAATATACAAGTCTCCAGCAAATTTCTGTTCTCAGAGCTAAATATAAGTTTTGAGCAGCTGAAAGACGACGACTTTGAATACCCCTCCCTGCCTTTTTAATTGCTAAATCACTATTAAACAAAATAATCAATTCAGGTTATAACCACTCCTACAAGGTTATTTTTTTAGATTTCACAAGGTTATAAATGTTAATCATGGTTAGAAATATCAGTATTCAAAACTCACAATAGTTCATTAGTAGGGAAAAAAACATTTTCTCTCATCTGTTTTCATATTTTCTATGATGTGCAAGGTATTTTTTCTTTTGTAAAAAGTAGTTGTAGAATCATTTATCAAGTTGAACATATATATTCTTTTTCAGTGTAAAAGCACTTTCAAGTAACAGCCCTATGGACTGTTACACATTTCGTCTCTCTAAATGTCACCCCTCCATCTCTATTCCCATTCAATTTTTAATCCACTGGTCAATTCCTAAATACTTTGAAAGAAAAGTAACTGTAAAAGAGCACAGCTCCCGGGGGGTGGGCAAGCACTACCACAAGGACAGATTTGCCACTCTTATCCTGCTTATCAGCAGCTAGGCAGTTCAGGTATTGGCTGGCCCATCAGCATAGATGTTACTCTAGCTCACTTATAAACTGTGCCTTATTTATTTGGCAAACAATGTAAATAAACACAAGGAACGGGTGGAAAGGAAGGGTGGGAAGTTGCATGTATTGTTAGCATGAGTGAACGAGCCATGAAGGAGCTGATGTGTTGGATGGAGTGACGTAAGACATACCATTCAAGGCAGAGAGACCAAGAATATGGAGAGGAAACAGAATTGTGCTGGGAGACATAAATGGGAAGCTGGGCTTATTAGTGTGGAAGGGGAAAAGAACATATGGCATAGGACAGTAAATCATAGCAAATTAGGCTACAACCATATAGTGTTTGCAAAATAAATATGTTAGATTAAGTCTACTATATCAGGTTACACTAAATTAGATACTTAATTGAGGCTGACTACATTCATGTACATGACAGGCTCATTCCCACAGTGATCAGATGGAGTGAACAGGATTTCTACATAGAAATCCAGTAACGGACACATAGTGATGCCAATCTACTTTAAAGGAAATAACACAGTACGAACGTGATCAGAATTCAGATCCTGCCTTCAGGTCCTCTAGGCCATGATTCAAAGTAAACTGAAGCAAAGAGAGTCTTTTTATTTAGTTTAACAAGATCTGAAGATTATAATAAAATCCACAGGTGTACTGGGACATGAAGTATTTAAGAGAGAGTTCTGATCAGAATTTTAAGAGAAGTCCCACTACTAACTTTTCTTAACTCTGGTGATCAGCTATTGTTTATCATTAAGTTGGACCTAATTTTCCTAGTATTCAATTAACCATACAACTACCTAACATTTACACTTCTCTCCAAAATACTAACCAGATACAGAATTAATCTTGAAATGTTGTTCTAAGGTCACTCCTGAAGACTGGAGGGTCGCCTGTATATGACTTAAAAGTGATGAGACAACAGATTCTTCTTCTGCATTCTTGTTCACTTTTCTGTTCAGCTGCATCTGATACCAAATCGATTTCTTATACAATAACTGCCATAGTACCAACAACCTGTAGTTCAAGAAGTATAATATTATGAAAATCATCAAAAAATAACAAAGTTACATTGATTTACTTTCTTATGTTTTGTAGTATGTATCTGAAAACTAAATTATATGTTAACAACAATTTCTTGACTTCAATGAGAGGAAAAAAATGAAACGTGTTTTTTGTTTATTGGCCAAACATTGATTCTTCTGAATTTGCATAAACGCAGCAATCTACTTCAAGCACCCAAACGCACCTAAAATGAATTCCTTGCTGTCTAAACAACGGGGAAACGCAATAACCTAAATAAACCTCAAAACAGGTATCAGTGCCTTTATAAAGAAGATTGATTAAAAACACAATGAAAGCATAAGACAGAAAAGCAGACAAGGAAACAAAGGACTGAGGGCAAGTTTTTAGGGCTGGCAAGTCCCTGCTGCTGAGCACAGTACTATTAGATGTACCAGCTCAGTTATATACTAAGCTTGCCAATACAAGCAAATACACATTGCCAGGGACTTGACAATGCTTGCACAGAACTGCCACACAACTGCATCTTCTTCTCTAGCAATATTGCTTCCATTATTAACAGTCAGCCATACAGTGCCCAGCACCTGGAGCACAATTAATCAACAACGGGGATTATCTTCTCAGAGACAACTGAAATTTCCCTATCAAATTTGCAATGAACTATGTTTTTACTTTACTGAAAAAATCTATTTCACTGTAGTAAGATTAAATTTGTGAGTTATAATGCTTTCTTGGGTTCTAAATCCCTGGAAAGGAACAGCTTGCTCGTACTATTAACACACGTGGATTCACTTGAGTTCTGCAGTAGAGAAACAGTCCAGTAATAATATACTCTCCAATAGTTGGATAGCACACTTCAGTTTAAGCTTCTTTCAAGTTTATGTGTGTATCTTCAAAGAAGAAATAGCTCAGGTAGTTTAGTAAGTTTCCACACACTGGGGTTTTTCTTATTGCTCCTGGACACCACATCTGTAATCAAGTGCAAACTTTGCTGACTAAAGTGACATCATAGATATGTTGCATATAAGCAGCCTCTTCACATCACAGGGTTGAAACTTCATCATGGGAAGGAGAGGAATCAGCAAGAGGCAGTAAAAGCTTCTTAGGCTGCAATACCTGGATTGACGCTGCACTACAAGACCTGGTGTGAGCTGTTAACCCACCAGTTCTCTGAAGTGACTGGCAGTAATCAGTTAAGTCACCATAACTGAACTATATTCAACTATAGGTTGGAGCACTAATCTGTATGCTTTAATTGATTACCATGCTTGTACATAGAGTACGAAACAGAAAAGAAACAAAAGGATGTTGTAATTACTGTAAAAGTGAAAAATAAAGTCGTTGTTGCAATGTAGCATCACAGAATCATTTAGTTTGGAAATGACGTTCGAGGTCCAACTGCTAACCCAGCACTGCCACTAAACCATGTCATGAAGCATCACAGCTACATGACCTTTAAATACGACTACGGACAGTGACTCCACCACTTCCCTGAGCAGCCTGTTCCCATGCTTGACAACCCTTTCTGTGAAAAACTTCCTAATACACAACCTAAAGCTCCCCTGGTGTAACTTGAGGCCATTTCCCCTTCTATTGCTAGTGACTTGAGAGAAGAGGCCAACCCCCACCTCCCTACAACCTCCTTTCAGGTAGTTGTAGAAGGTAGTAAGGTCTCCCCTCAGCCTCCCCTTCTCCAGGCTAAACAACCCCAGTTCTCTCAGCCGCTCCTCACAAGATCTGTTCTCCAGACCCTTCACCAGCTTCGTTGCCCTTCTCTGGACACGCTCCAGCACCTCAATGTCCTTCTTGCAGTGAGGGGCCCAAAACTGCACACAGCATTCGAGGTGTGGCCTCAGTGCCC